CTCATGGTACCTTCTCCAAAATAGACCATATAATTGGTCACAAAACAAGCCTCTACAGATACAAAAAGATTGAAATAATCCCTTGCATCTTATCAGATCACCACGGACTAAGACTGGTCTTTAATAATGACAAAACCAATGGAAAACCCACGTGCACATGGAAACTGAACAACTCTCTACTCAATGATGACTTGGTCAAGGAAGAAATAAAGAAAGAAATAAAAGACTTTTTAGAATTCAATGAAAATGAGGACACATCATACCAAAACTTGTGGGACTCCATGAAGGCAGTGCTAAGAGGAAAGCTCATAGCTCTAAGTGCCTACAAAAAGAAACTGGAAAGAGCACACACTAACAAGTTGACTGCACAACTAAAAGCTCTAGAACAAAAAGAAGCAAATACACCCAGGAGGAGTAGAAGGCAGGAAATAATCAAACTCAGGGCTGAAATCAACCAAATAGAAACAGAAAGAACAATACAAAATATCAATAAAACCAGGAGTTGGTTCTTTGAGAAAATCAACAAGATAGATAAACCCTTAGCCAGATTAACCAGAGGGCACAGAGACAGTATCCAAATTAATAAAATCAGAACTGAAAAGGGAGACATAACAACAGAAACTGAAGAAATTCAAAAAATCATCAGATCCTACTACAAAGGCCTATACTCAACAAAACTGGAAAACCTGGATGAAATGGACAATTTCCTAGACAGATACCAGGTACCAAAATTAAACCAGGAGCAGATAAACCATCTAAATAGTCCCATAACCCCTCAGGAAATAGCAGCAGTCATTAAAAGTCTCCCCACTAAAAAAAGCCCAGGACCAGATGGTTTTAGTGCTGAATTCTATCAGACCTTCAAGGAAGACCTAATACCAATTCTCTTCAAACTATTCCACAAAATAGAGACAGAAGGAACACTACCCAATTCGTTCTATGAAGCTACAATTACACTCATTCCCAAACCCCACAAGGACCCAACAAAGAAAGAGAACTTCAGACCAATCTCCCTTATGAACATCGATGCAAAAATACTCAATAAAATTCTAGCAAACCGAATCCAAGACCACATCAAAACAATCATCCATCATGATCAAGTAGGTTTTATCCCAGGAATGCAGGGATGGTTCAATATTCGGAAATCCATCAATGTAATCCACTATATAAACAAACTTAAAGAAAAAAACCATATGATTATCTCACTAGATGCTGAGAAAGCATTTGACAAAATTCAACATCCCTTCATGATAAAAGTCTTGGAAAGATCAGGAATTCAAGGCCCCTACCTAAACATAGTAAAAGCAATTTACAGCAAACCAGTAGCCAACATCAAGCTAAATGGAGAGAAACTTGAAGCAATCCCACTAAGATCAGGGACTAGACAAGGCTGCCCACTCTCCCCCTACCTATTCAATATAGTACTGGAAGTCCTAGCCAGAGCAATTAGACAACAAAAAGAAGTCAAAGGGATACAAATAGGAAAGGAAGAAGTCAAAATATCGCTATTTGCAGATGATATGATAGTATACTTAAGTGACCCCCAAACTTCCACCAGAGAACTCCTAAACCTGATAAACAACTTCAGCAAAGTGGCTGGTTATAAAATCAACTCAAACAAATCAGTAGCCTTCCTCTACATGAAAGATAAACAGACTGAAAAAGAAATTAGGGAAATGACACCCTTCACAATAGTTGCAAATAATATAAAATACCTTGGTGTGAATCTAACCAAGCAAGTGAAAGACCTGTATGACAAGAACTTCAAGTCCCTGAAGAAAGAAATCGAAGAAGATCTCAGAAGATGGAAAGATCTCCCATGCTCATGGATTGGCAGGATTAATATAATAAAAATGGCCATCTTGCCAAAAGCAATCTACAGATTCAATGCAATCCCCATTAAAATCCCAACTCAATTCTTCACAGAGTTAGAAAAGGAAATTCTCAAATTCATATGGAATAACAAAAAACCTAGGATAGCGAAAACTATTCTCAACAATAAAAGAACTTCGGGAGGAATCACCATCCCTGACCTCAAGCTGTACTACAGAGCAATAGTGATAAAAACTACCTGGTATTGGTACAGAGACAGGCAGGAAGATCAATGGAATAGAATTGAAGACCCAGAAATGAACCCACACTCCTATGGTCACTTGATCTTTGACAAAGGAGCTAAAACTGTCCAGTGGAAAAAGGACAGCATTTTCAACAAATGGTGCTGGTTCAACTGGAGGACAACATGTAGAAGAATGAAAATTGATCCATTCTTATCCCCTTGTACAAAGCTCAAATCTAAGTGGATAAAGGACCTCCACATAAAACCAGATACACTGAAACTAATAGAAGAGAAGGTGGGGAAAAGCCTCGAACACTTGGGCACAGGGGAAAAGTTCCTGAACAGAACTCCAATGGCATATGCTCTAAGATCGAGAATTGACAAATGGGACTTCATAAAATTGCAAAGTTTCTGTAAGGCAAAGGACACTGTCAATAGGACAAAACGACAACCAACAAATTGGGAAAAGATCTTTACCAATCCTTCATCTGATAGAGGGCTAATATCCAATATATACAAAGAACTCAAGAAATTAGACTCCAGGCAACCAAATTACCCTATTAAAAAATGGGGTATAGAGCTTAACAAAGAATTTTCAACAGAAGAAACTCGAATGGCCGAGAAGCACCTAAAGAAATGCTCGGCATCCTTAGTCGTCAGGGAAATGCAAATCAAAACAACCCTGAGATTCCATCTCACACCAGTCAGAATGGCTAAGATTAAAAACTCAGGTGATAGTAGATGCTGGCGAGGGTGTGGAGAAAGAGGAACACTCCTCCATTGTTGGTGGGACTGCAAGATGGTGCAACCACTTTGGAAATCATTGTGGCGGTTCCTCAGAAAATTGGATATAGCATTACCTGAGGATCCAGCTATACCACTCCTAGGCATATACCCAGAAGATGCTCTAACATATAACAAGGATATATGCTCAACTATGTTCATAGCAGCCTTGTTTATAATAGCCAGGAGCTGGAAAGAACCCAGATGTCCTTCAACTGAGGAATGGATTCAAAAAATGTGGTATATTTACACAATGGAGTATTTACTCAGCTATTAAAAACAATGAATTTGAGAGGTTCCTAGATAAATGGATGGAACTAGAAATTATCATCCTGAGTGAAGTAAGCCAATCACAAAAGAACACACATGGTATTCACTCACTGATTATTGGATATTAGTAGCCCAGAACCTTGAAATGCCCAAGATGCAACTCACAGGCCACATGAAGCCCATAAAGAAGGAAGACCAAGTGGGGGTGATTCGGTCCTTCTTAGAAGGAGCAACAAAATATTCAAGGGAGCAAATATGGAGACAAAGTGAGGGACAGAAACTGAAGGAGGGGTCGTCTCAAGACCACTCCACCTGAGTATCTATCCCATGTGCAATCACCAAAGGTAGATGCTGATGTGGAAGTCAGGAAGTGCATGCTGATAAGAGCCTGATATGGATATCTCCTCAGAGGTCTTCAAGAGTCTGACATACTCAGAGGCAGATGCTCACAACTAGCCATTGAACTGATCATGGGGTTCTCAATAGAGGAGTTAGAGTGAAGACTGAAGGAGAACTGAAAGGATTTGCGGCCCCATGAGGAGAGCAACAATACCAACCAACCACAGCTCCCAGGGTCTAAACCACCAGCCTGGGAGCACTTATGGAGGGATCCAGTGCTTCAGTTGAATATGTAAGAGTGGAGGGCCCTGCTGGGCATAGGTGAAAGAAGAGAACCTTGACAGCATGAAGGCTGGATGCCCCAGGGGATGGGAATTTTGAGGGTGGGGAGGCAGGAGTGGGGGGGTAGATAGAGGTTACATCCACAGAGAAAAAGGAGGAGGGGTGAGGGGATTGGAGGTTCCTGGGTGGGTGGGGGATGGGATAAGGGGACAACATAGGAAATGTAAGTAAAACATCCAATAAAATTTTAAAAATAAATAAATAAAAAATAAAAATAAGGCAAAAAAAATTCAGACTATATCCAAAAACATAAATTTAAAAATGTTAGTTTTTAATGGATAGGGTTTTAGGAAAGTGCTATAGGCTTGGGTGTTCTTTCACTTTATTTTAGTGATTATTGGAATTCTTGGTCCAGGGACACGAGGGTCAGGTATATAGGACTCTCAATCCCTAACTATTATAGTCAATTTTCTTTCACAACAAGAAAATATAAGTGAGCCAGGTGGTGTTGGCGCACGCCTTTTAATCCCAGCACTTGGGAGGCAGAGACAGGCAGATTTCTGAGTTCGAGGCCAGCCTGGTCTACAGAGTGAGTTTCAGGACAGCCAGAGCTACACAGAGAAACCCTTTCTCGAAAAACAAAACAAAAAAAAAAAAGAAAGAAAGAAAATATAAGTGAATCCTCTCTGAATTATTTATATGCAAGGCCAAGAACTAAAAATTTACCTTAATATATTTGATGAAACTTGATGTTTTCGTTAACTGAACACTAATCTCCCTTCTGTAGGTTACAGCACATGACATGTTCTTTCCTTATTTCCAACTGTAACAAACATAAGCACGCTTACAGATCTGATGTAAAAACAATTCAAGCTGGGCACAGAAGTGTGCTTCGATTTTTTTCTAAATACCATTTTCCCTTCCTAATTAGTTGGTCTCCTCTTAGGTAGAGGTGGTGCTCACGAGTGCCTTGAGATATGCTTTTCAATATTTTAGTTTTTCATGAAAACATTCACATCACAGAAAACAGAGAGAGAGAAGAGAACACAAGAAACATCAGGACATGAGCGAGTTTGAAAATGCCGTACGAGATTTCTTTACTTTGAGAAGGAAAGGAAGAAAGGAAGAAAGGAAGGAAGGAAGGAAGGAAGGAAGGAAGGAAGGAAGGAAGGAAGGGAAAGAGAAAGATAGAAATAACTGTAACTTATGATAATTTTAAAAGGCAGTTGAAAATTCTTCCAGCCCGACAGCACTCTGACCACTCTGACAACCAGTTTTGAACACATTTATTTAGTTTTGGAACATTGTCTTGTGTGGTGACCTTTCAGCCGATGACCTCTAGTCAGTACTCGGTTCTTTTTCCTTAGCAAGATTGGAAGGTGTTTTCTTTCTTTCTGGCAGAATGAAGTCGGCGTGTCCTGGAGAGAGCTTCGGGAAGGTGTAATTGATGTACTTCTGAAATGCAGCCCTGGTTTCCTGTAGTTCCTCTTCCAGAAAATCCTTCCAGTTTGTCATGATTCCCAGTTGCTTTGCCACAGACAGCAGCTCCCCCTGAGTGTTGACCAGCTTGCCCATCACATTGTCAAGGGTGGCCTGATGTGTTTTTTCTGCCTCTTGAAGCACTTCTTGTACTTCTTCTTGCTTCTGCCTCTGAGCCATGCCATAGTAGACATTCATCTCATGCTCCTTTGCTTTTATCAACTGGCCCAAGCTTACCGTAGGGTCTTTAATAGCTGTTACACCAGTATTTACAAGGTCCTCCAGTGCCTTGCTGCAAAAGATCATACACATTTACCAATTAGATCAACTAGCCACTAAAAACACAATGAATTCACCATGAATCACAGAAGAGTCGTTAACCTGAGAGACCTGGTATGCATGAGCTTTCAGACTATATTAGCTATCAATAATCAATTTAAAAATAGTTCTCAGAGGCTGCTTCTCTGCTGTGGGTTAGGGCAAAAGAGCTAGTGTCATGTCTAATGGCATCATGGAGAATCTGAGTTCACTCTGGCCATTGCACTTTTAAAAAAATTGAAGAGACATTGTTAGAGTCCTAAACCCCCAAAGAGGCGTTTCCTCATATCAATTCAGCTGATTTTTATTTCTTTGAGACAGTATCATTAGTGTTTGGTTTCTGTTACTTTGAGTAGACTTGAACCAATTATGTAACTCAGGCTGACCTCCAACTCGTTTTGATTTTCGAGACTATAGTATGATTACATCATCTCTCCCTTCTCTTTCTGCCACTCCTTGCTCTCTTTCAAATTATGTCCTTTTCATCAATTGTTGTAACATGCATGTGTGTGTGTGTGTGTGTGTGTATCTATATCTATATCTATATCTATATCTATATCTATATCTATATCTATATCTATATCTATCTATCTATCTATCTATCTATCTATCTATATATATATATATATATATATATATATATTTGTGTGTGTGGTGTGTGTGTATTCCTGAATAGAACCTGCTCGATATGTAAAATGTTCCTTGTATGTGTGTTTCGGTTGACCACTTGGGATTGGATAACCACTTGCTGTAGTCCTCCCTGGGGAGGACTCTTTCTCCTGCTCTCAGCCTTCCTCAGTTGCCTGTAGTTCTGAGAGTAAGAGTGGGGCTTTATGGGTTTTCTCCTGCCACTTTGAACTTCTATTATTGCCCTTGCTTGACTCATGTTAGGCAGCCATGTTGGTAAGGTTTTATGGGTGTAGCTTCTGACATTATTAGAAACAAAAATCTCACAGCAAACTCCCTGATCCTAACCTCCTAACCTCCAACTCTGGATCCACCTAAGTGCTGATTATAGACCAAAGCCACTAAACCCTAGTTCCTCGTCTTTAGGATAAAAGAAGCAAACTTTGTACTCATGGGCTATATTCATACTTATACATTTTATCTTGACTTAACCTCAGCTATATTTAATTATAGATTATCTCTAATTTTCTGATTACAGAACCAAAATACCTTTAAACTCAAAATTACTGAGAAATCAAGAGTCATAATTTATAAGTCTTATCTATTGACATTAACAGAATTAGGGGTTTAAAGGCAGACAATTAAAAAATACATTTATCAATCAATACAAAATGACAATAAATTACTTATACTGTAACACACTTTTATGAAAAATATTTTTCCAAATAGAATATATTTGATGAAGAGACTGGCAAAGGTTTACATTCATTTGCAAAATTCTTTTAAGTATGGCTTCAAAAAAAAGCTGCTTTTCGTGTTATTTCAGCATATTGTGACACCCTACATATTAAAACTCATAAAAAGTAACACTCATTAGAGAAGAGAAAAAAAGAATTAACATTATCCTCTTGTCAAAGAATGAGCTTATTTCTGAATATACGTATCAAGGATATGTTCCTTGTTATATGAAGTGTGTTTGGGGGAGACAAAGAATGTGTGAGGAGCGGTAAACAGGGACTTGTGTGCTTTCCTGCATACATTCCCATAAAGTCAATATTTTAATGTATTCATCTATTAGCTTACAAAGAAAAGATCAAGAACTAACACGTCCACAACAGCGTGTAGACTAGGCTGGAAACAAGGATCCTTAAGTGTTTGTGGAAAGGTGTTTATTGATTCTTCTCAGCCGTTTAATACTGGGTATACAAAATGAGAAGCATAATATTGAGAAGAATCACTGTTTACTGAGAGAAGGGGATGGAGTATGACTGAGAATAAGGTACGGGACTTTCCAGAAGTGTTGACAACTTGAAATCCCTCAGGTTAAGTGTTAGATACTTGAGCACTTATGCTACCATTTTTCTTAAATCAACCTCTCTCTCCTTCCTTCTCCCCTCCCCTTCTTCCTGCTTCCTCTCTCCCACATTTGTGAATATCAGTATTTGATATGTGCCACAGTAGAACCAGGGAATGCTGGGACAGCATTCCATTATACGCCTTAGCCTTGTTTCTTTCTCTAGGTGGATTTTAGCAGAGTCAGATGCTGATTTGCAGCATCTTGTGTTCTCTGGAGTACCTTTTCTGGTCCTCGATAGCTTTCTGGGCAATCTTCCTCTCTTCTTCCCTGGCTTTCTTCACAGCCTCCATCTTCTCCCGGTGACAGTCCATCATAATCCTCTGGATCCGATGGACCATACGCTGTTCTGCAGCTGTGTGCTCTCTCTTCAGCTCTTCATCCATCTGTTGAATCATCTCCACCTTGGTTTTAGCTTCTAGAGCCTTAAAGAAAGGGAATGAAAAACTGGTCTTAGATATTACAGGTCTGATGTCTGAAAATGAAGACTAACAGGTGAGATCCGTCATTGACTTGATATAGTGGATACCCGTTAATCAGGTAATTTAAAAGTAGTTGTGAATCAATCATATGGCTTTTTTTCATTCAAGTAAAATATTCAAACTGTGTGTGTGTGTGTGTGTGTGTGTGTGTGCATGTCCACGTACACACATACACACACACACACGAAAGATCACATTAAAAGGCAGTGTGCAAAAAGGAAAATAGGTTAGAGGGGTTGTGCTTACAGTTTTCTGGCTGCTTTTAATTTTCTTTTTCCATGCTGGTGGTCAAACCTGGAGTCTCACAGGTACTAGGTTATCACTGGGCTATAGTTCCAATTAAATGCTTTTATTGTCACAGTGTCAATGTACATGGAAATATAGATATGATATTAGAAAATGGCAGAAATAAAAACCATGACGGGAACCTGAGGTGCAGACAGAAAACACATCTATCAACATAGCTACAGGAGCCTGTCTTCCAGTTCCCACTGTTCTTCCACGTTCCATGTCATTAGGGTAGCTACCCTTCCTCATTCATGGAGGAGACAAGAACTCCATTGTTGTAAGGTAGAAGGACCTGTGGAATATTTTCAACCAAGAGAATGGAAGCAGCCAAACCATTATTTGTGAAGTCTCACAAAAGTACCTAAAGTTAAAACCTGTCACCATTTTGGATGTGCCTACTAATGCTGGATCCCCGGTATGCAGGTCAGTGATAGGAGGTCAGCACTCTGCTGGGCAAAGACATCACTCACACAAGAACTCTTGGATCCCTATTCACAGAGGACTCGTTGTATACTGGACAAGATCAAAGATACTTGCATTAGTATCTTTGAGATACTAATGATTTGATATTTGTTCCTTATAATTGCATAACGGGTGCTGTATCAGAAGTATATTTAAGAAAAGAAGAGTAGTTGTTGTGTTCTGAACTTCCCTTTCTTTATTCTTAAGACTTATTTGTTTTATGTATGTGAGTTCAGTGTCCGTTCTCCTCGGATTGCTGGGAATTGAACTCAGGGCCTCTGGAAGAACAAGCCAGAGCTCTTCACCACTGAGCCATCTCACCAACCCTGAACTAACTTTCTTTCTTTTTTTTTTTTTGTTTTGGTTTTGATTTTTCAAGACAGGGTTTCTCTGTGTAGCCCTGGCTGTCCTGGAACTCACTCTGTAGACCAGGCTAGCCTCGAACTCTCGAACTCAGAAATCCACCTGCCTCTGCCTCCCAAGTGCTGGGGGATTAAAGGCGTGCGCCATCACCGCCCGGCTAACCCTGAACTTTCAAAACCTTCAATAAGAGGTAAATCTTTGTCTCCTCCAGTGTTGTCAGAGAACATTAAGGAATTGAGTTACTTCACATGCCCCCTCATCATTGACTAAGATGATGGAGTCTTTCAAGAAAATGTCACAATTTTACAAGAAAGCCTAACAGTCTAACCTTCTTCCCTCTCTTCTATCTTCCCTCTTCCCCATCTTTCCTTCCTTTTTAGAGCTGCAGAGTCTCATTTTCAAGTGAAATTTTACCCGGATATAAAGCACTAAAGCCACCAAGGGTTCAACCACCTGGTTGAATTTTCTCAATCTCTTTTTGTGCCCTTTCTGGAACTTAAGGGAACAGCTTCTTGAATGTGCATCCAGTGTGCCCTCAGCTGAGGCTGCATAGCAAGAGAACTCCAAGTGGCAAGGAAACATGCAGCCACTTGCAGATCCTTAGAAAAACTATCTCAATGATAAAAATTCTTGATTAGAAGAAGTGTGTGTACAGGTCAGTGAGGGAACATGTTTTGCCCTAGCATAAGTGAAGCCCTGAGTCTGATCCCCAGCTCTGAAAAACTGTTAGAATCCAGCATCCCTAAGGGAAAAGATTTTCTTTTTTGCAAAGATTTATGCATATATTTTATGTATCTGGGTTTTTGTCTGCATGAATGTCTGTGTACCAGAAGAGGGCATCAGATCCCATGGGACTACAGTTATAGATGGTTGTGGATGCTAGGAATTGAACTGAGGACCACTGGAAGAGCAACCAGTACTTTTAACTTCTGAGCCATCTCTCCAGCCCAGGGGGAAAGGTTTTCACCTGCTCATTTTGGCTACTTCAGGAGTATGGAAAAGCCGGGTGTGGTAGACATCCTAGCACCCAGAAGGCAAGAAGAGCATCATGAGTCTGAGGCCGGTCTACATAGTGAGACTCTTTTCCAAAAAACATAACTGGGAGCTGGGGAGGTGACTGAGGAGAGTAATGGTGCTTGCTGAATAAGCATGGAGGCCTGAGTTTGACCCTCTAGCATCCAAGTAAAGAGGTGGAGAATGACGTTTCATTCTTGTAATCCCAGTACTGGAAGACAGAGACAGGTTGTAAACAGTGGAGCCAGTCAACCTGTCCAAATCAGCTAGTTTCCAGTTCAGTAAGAGACCTTGTCTAAAGGCAATATGACAATAAAGAAAGACAACCTGGGTTCACGAAGATAGCTTAGTTGACAAAGGAGTGTGCCACCAAGCTTGACAACATGGGTTCAATCCCTGGGCCCACATAGTAGAAGGGAAAGAAATGACTCTAGCAAGTTGTCCTCTTATCTCTACATGTACATATTAAACATGTGTATATGTGTGTAACTTCACACACACAATGCACAACATACACACACACCAAAACCAAAAGAGAGGAGAAACAACAGAATCTAATTTTAAGAATATTTACAGAGAGAGTCGGTCTGCTCCTGTCCTGTGGAGAAACTGAATCCTGAGTCATCCAGGAGCCACTGCACTCAGAGCAGCTGGTAAGAACTCCATCTCACTCCCTAAGCCCCAGAAAAACATCTGGGAGCCAGGGACATCC